TTTGTATGACTTATTTTGAGAGATGTCTATTCAGATCTTTTGCCCATTTTTAAATTGGATTTTTTTTCTATAGAGTTGTTTGAGCTCCTTATATATTATGGTTATTAATCCCTTGTCAGATGGGTAGTTTGCAGATTTTTTCTCTTCTCTGTGAGTTTTCTCTTCACTTTGTTGATTTTTTCTTTTGCTGCACAGAAACTTTTTAGCTTGAGACATTCCCAGTTGTCCACTCTTCTGCCCAGAGCAATGTCCTGGAACATTTCCCCAATGTTTTCTTTTAGTAGTTTTACAACTTCAGGTCTTAGATGTAAATCTTTAATCCATTTTGATTTGATTTTTATATATGGTGAGAGATAGGGGTCTAGTTTCAATCTTCTGCATATGGATATCTAGTCATAATAGTTTTGAAATACAAATGGACCCAAAGTTATGCAGCAGATATGGGATTCCTGGAGTGGATGCTTGAGTTACGTTGAGCCACAAGCCCCAAGGCTTAAGGTAGAATTATTTTGGTTCTGATAGAGGGGAGAAACTCCCCATTACCTAGTATTAAATTCTCCCAGGAAGCTATTTTCTGACTTGCAGTGGCCTGTTTTGCAAGGATGGAGTCATGGAAAACATCAAGAAAGATGTGGTTAGTTCTTTATCAACTGCTGAACTGCTGTAATGTTCTCTGCCTTGATTCAGGTATTACTGGGGTGGGAGGGAAGCCCCTAATTATAGTCAGTTACTGACTCACAACCATAATTTGCTCATGGTTATTTCCTCTGCGAAGAAAATATGTGGTATTTTTGCCTAATGCGTGTGTGTGTGTGTGTGTGTGTGTGTGTGTTATCTCTCCACAACATCTTTACGTGACCTTTAGCTGTAAGGTTGGGCCTTCCTAGGAGCTCTTAGGCTCCAGCTGTGCACACCGCTGCTGGATTGCTTTCACAGACACACCCAGAATGTGGGTGTGGCTTTGAAATACCCAGTTCTCTGGGGTGTCATTTCACACTACCTGCTGTGGTCAGTAGTAACTGAACAAGATCTGGAAGCACACCTGCTCCTAGGAACTAGTCAGGACTCCCTAGGTTACAAGCAGCAGAAACCCAATGCACAGATTTAAATGCAAAAAAAGACTTACTGGCATACTGAACTGCATAGCGTTGGAGGAGATTCAGGTACAGCTGGATCCAGGTGCCCTCACAGGATCATTGGAAGCTATTTCTATTTGCTTTCTTCTGTATGGGCTTCTTTTCAGGTGCACACTCCCCCTTCTGGTGGCCTGGGGCAGTTATAAGCTTGTATTAATATTTTACTTGCTAGGCTGGGTGCCGTGGCTCATGCCTGTAATCCGAGCACTTTGGGAGGCTGAGGTGGGTGGATCAACTGAGGCAGGAGTTTGAGACCAGCCTGACCAATATGGTGAAACCCCATCACTACTAAAAATACAAAATTTAACTGGGCGTGGTGGCAGGCACCTGTAGTCCTAGCTACTCAGGATACTGAGACAGAAGAATTGCTTGAACCTGGGAGGTGGAGGTTGCAGTGAACCGAGGTCATGCCACTGAACTCCAGCCTCGGTAACAGAGCAAGACTGGTCTCAAAAAAAGAAAAAAATTTTACTTGCTTATTAACTCCAGTATTTTTTATATGCTGAGTTCATTCTGAACTCTCTCTTTCTCAATAATTCCAGCAAAGTTTCGAAGACTTTTAATGGTCCAGCCAGGGCTATGTAACCATCTCTGAAGCAATCACATTGTCTAGGGTGATAGAGTGGTCTCACCAAGAGGACACACATGCCCACCCCATTTCTGAGGGAAGGGGCTTAGGAGCACATGACATCGATTGAGAAAAGAAAGGTAGCTTTTGTTATAACAACTATTTGTACATACAGACTTCTCTGGAGTTAATTTTGGATAATTAATTTCTGAATACAGCGATGTCTGAAATGATAGATTGTAAATCTGATTTGTGAACATTGTCTTCCTACCTAACCATATTTTATGAATTCACACACTTAATGAAAACATGCTTTAATATAATAGAAGTTTTCAAATCAAATGAGTAAGAAAGGTTTTGTGCTGGGCATGGTGGCTCACACCTGTAATCACAGAATTTTGGGAGGCCGAGGCAGGCAGATCACTTGACGTCAGGAGTTTGTCACCAGTCTGAACAACATGGTGAAACCTGGTCTCTATGAAAAATACAAAAATTAACTGGGTGTTGTGGCTCAAGCCTATAATCTCAGCTACCTGGGAGGCTAAGGCAGAAGAATCACTTAAACTGGGAGACAGAGGTTGCACTTAGCCGAGATCCTGCCACTACACTCCAGCCTGGGCAACAGAGTCAGACTCCATCTCAAATATATATATATTTTTTAATAAAGCAATTGGGCAGCAACAGAGCCCTTATGTCTTTATAGTGAATGGTAGAAAAAGTCAACCGAAGAAATCTGCTGCTTCTGACATATTTTAGAGCATAATGTATTCTGACTTGGGGCCTTGAGTTCAATTTGATTCATTGAAAGCTCAGGAAACATTTTGGTTTGGTTCAAAGGCTTACCCATTTAGTTTTCTTACTGAAGGGATTTCTAGACAGTACCTGGAAAAAAAAAGTGTTGCTAGATTGAAGGAGTTTGCTCCAAAGCTTCTCTGTTATTAAGAAATACATTTCTGACTTCATATTTTCACTTCTCTGAGGGGGCATTTTGGAGATGCATTGCTTGATTTTAACAGCAATGTTAAAGGCTCTGTTTCTCTGACTGTGACTTTTTCAGAGAGCTAGTCACTCAGTGCCTTTCTATGGTTCCATTTCCTCATCTATGAAAACCTACATAGGATAACCTACAGAAACTACTTAGGACAGTGCCTGGCCCACAGTAAGCCCTTTATGAGTGTTTACTGCTATTATTGTTATTTCATGAGCTTTCAAAGCACACAGCCACAGGCCCGTTTTACTTCTGTTTGAGATGAAGCTTGGAGGGCAGAGGGCAGATGCCTAAAGCTAAGCAGCTCATTAAAAGTAGAATAGAAATAGATGAGAGGAAACCAAAGTACTTTTCTCTTTAGATAGTTATCAAACCAGGCTTCACTGCAGACTATGGGCTTGCGTATGGCCAGAGATCAAAGGCTCTCTTCTGTGCAGTGACATTTCTGAGCACAGGGCTGAGTTATAAAACCCTTGAATGGAAGGTTTTGGCACTTGGAACATGGCTTGAACTAGAAGGGCAGGGTTTTTATAGAGGCGATTCATGGAACTGCTTATGCTGGTGAAGAACCCAGACTCTTATGACTCATTTGTCTATTCATTGCTTTGGACCAAGAATGGTTGTTTCCTTTTAAGTCCCTCTGTAGGAGCTGAGCTACAGACTAGGGCCAAGACAACTCAGGAAGACAGAGTGGCTTCAGTGAGTGTGAATGGGAATACCGCCTTGTTGGGCTCTGGGTCAAGTGCCCTGGACAAGCGGAATAAGGATTTTATTTTACCAGGGCAGAATTGCTTTTGGAAACTGGCAGCATCCTTAAAATCTTAAACTTCAGATAAGCTTTCCTTTTGTCTGTCTGCCATTTTCATTCTCTGAAAGCCAAAGCTAAATTTGATTGTGTGACAAATAGAGGACAGAAGAATGACTTTGGAAAGTAGAAATTAATGTGTCTGGGCTGGTACATATAGAACTAAGGATAGCAGAAGGGTCATTTGGAGTCCAGTTTGCCTGAGGTCTTGCTATATCTCCTGGGAAAAACTGAAGGGGACTTTTGGACTGATGGTGAGACCTCGTGCAGTAGGCAGACTTCTAAGCTACAGTGCAGGGCTCTCCAACTTCTGGCTCTTACTCCTTTAGGTAACCTCCTCCCCTTGTGTTGGGGCCAGACCTATTGACCTGCTTCTCATGAATGGAATATGACAAAAGCAGTGGGATGTCACTTCCACGATTAGGTGGCAAGATGCTGTGATTGCTACTTTGCTAGGAATCTCTCTTGCTGCAGCTCTCTCCTTCTCTCTTTTGCCTTCTTGGCTTGTGTGCTTTGATGTTTAAAATGGCTACCATGTTGGAGGAACCTGAAAGGCAAGAAATCAAGGGTATCTCCTAGTCAATATCCAGCAGAGGACAGCCCACAAGGAAATGAAACCTGCCACCAGCCCACAAGGAAATGAAACCTGCCACCAGCCACCAGATGAGTTTGAAAGTATATCTTGTCCCAGTTGATCTTTGTGTTGACTGTAGCCCAGCTACAGTCAATTTTCAATGCTTCAATAAATAAAGAATATAATAGGTCAGGCCGGGCATGGTGGCTCATGCCTGTAATAGCACTTTGCGGGGCTGAGGCAGGCAGATCACAAGGTCAGGAGATTGAGACCATCCTGGCCAGCACGGTGAAACCCTATCTCTACTAAAAATAAAAAAAAATTAGCTGTGCATGGTAGTGTGTGCCTGTAGTCTGAGCTACTAAGGAGACTGAGGCAGGAGAATTGCTTGAGCCCAGGAGGCAGAGGTTGCAGTGAGCCGAGATCATGCCACTGCACTTCAGCCTGGGTGATAGAGTAAGACTCCACCTCAAGAAAAAACAAACAAACAAACAAAAAAATATATATATATATATTTTATATATATATATATATATATATACATACTAGGTCAGTATACTTTACTGTCTTGAACAAGGAGGGAAACAAAGATTATCCTCAAACTCTGGAGCTTTGGATACTCTTGGTGAGTTTGGAACTTACTCTGAAGTAGCAGATCATCTGGAATTCAAGGAGACAGTGGTTCTTGGCTCCTGAGGGATCCTAGCTAATGTTACGGTCTCCAGTACAATGCCTAGTGGTTATTCCAAGACATTTGAGAAAGGATGCTAAAACCAAGAGCACCAGGATTTCTTTGGGGATCTTAATTGAAGTTGAAGTCACTGGTTGGGAGAAAATCTCCTTTTTTATGAACAGGAGAAGGAAGTATTAAGTGTGGGGAAAGACGGAGGCAAATCCAAGTCTTTATTTATTGATAATTCCAGCTTCAGAGTGGGGCTACCACGTGGTCAGGAGGAAAAGACTCACAAAGAAAGATGAAAATTGTAGAGGTGCTGTGGAAAGAGCACATGCTGAAGGAATCCTCTGAAAAGCAGCCCAGAGGCAATGACATACTGGTGCCAGCAGAGGCGGAGAAGCACACTTTAGCACAACAAAAACTTAAATGAATCATGCTCAATGTGGAAAATTTGAATAGATATGGCTAAGGATAAAAGACAACACACACCTAATCTCTCTACCTAGAGAGAAGCAAGGTTGCTATATTTCTCTTCCTCAATGCATATTTATATACTGTTGATATTTTTACTGTCCATGAAATTTTGCTTTAATGAAACCTTTAAATTATGAAATAATTCAAACATACCAAATAATATGTCACCAACTGTAATAGTTTGGACTAAGATTCTACACCAAGTGTAATAGTTTGCCACTAAGACTCGTGGCAGCAGAATGAGTTCCCCTTCATTCTGTGCAGTAACATTGGCTTAGACAAGAAAGACATTTATTTTTCTCTCACGTAAACTGCATCTGTAGATGGTCAGCCCAGGGCTGGTCTGGCCGTTCTACGTCATCATCATCATTGGGGGTGCAACTTCCAGCTCTCTGCTGTGCCATTCCTGGGATGCCTTTGCGTTTGCAAGATGGTTGTTAGAACTCCAGAAATCTCATCCACATCCTACCCCACAGGATTCCTCTTTCTCTCTAAAGAAACTCCCAAGAACTCTTATACCACACTTTCATTCATACCTTATTGGCTAAAATGTAGGAACATGGCCACATCTAATTGCATGGTAGGTGGGAAATGTTTTAATTCAAGATGATGTGACCAGCTAAAAAATTCTTTGCCAGGCCATGGAATCATCAACCAGATTTAACATATGATACTGCTTTGCTAATTTGAATCTCTTTAAAATTTTTGAAATTAAGAAATGAAGAGTTAGGCCAGGTACGGTGGCTCATGCCTATAATCCCCGAACTTTGGGAGTCTGAGGGGGGTAGATTGCTTAAGTCCAGGAGTTTGATACGAGACTGGGCAACATGACAAACCCTGTCTCTAATAAAAATACAAAAAATTAGTCAGGCATGGTGGCACATGCCTGTAATCCCAGCTGCTCAGGAGGTTGAAATGGGAGGATCACCTGAGCCCAGAGTTTGAGGTTGCAGTGAGCTGTGATTGCGCCACTGCGCTCCAGCCTGTGTGTCAGAGTGAGACCCTATCTTGAAATAAAAAAAGAAATGCAGAATTAAAGATATAGATAGACTTTACTTTCACCAAAGACATAGAAAGCTAAAAAGGTATTACCCCCACATAACAAGAAAAAGCCAGATAAACTACAAGATTACAACTTTTCTTAAACCTATCCGAGAACTGAGTTTGGAGCCTGAAAACCAAGCAAAGACAGGCCCTTCCAAGAAGAGAGAAAATCCATGCATTGGCTTCCCTTTGGGCAGCATGGGCAGAAAAAACACTGGACATCGTACTAGTAGGTAAGAAGAAGTCAACTACAATTTTCAATGATTTGGTAAAAGCTAAGTATGGACTACAGTGACAGTACAAAAACCTTGGGATCCCAGACACCAGGGAAGTTCACACTTATTAGCAGTTTCTCCTCCATGGACTTCTGTTGAGTGCCCACAAGAAAGATTGAGTCAGAAGGGAGAACAGAAAGTTCTCTAGTTTGTTAAGACCTGAAAGAAGGAAGAGATTGGGGCCTGCCACAGGAGACTTCTCCCCTACGGAACCAAAGCTGTGAGCTATTGAAGGAGAAGTGGCCACTGAGAGGTAGCACCACAGTGAGGACCCTGGGAGCTGGGGAAAAGGTCAAAGACAACATTCTTTTTCCGCTAGGGAAAGGGGTAGGAAAACATTCTAAGCATGAATTTTACAACAATACAACTAGCAGCCTCCTACTGGTGAAGAAAGGGCAGGAAGCTATGTCTTGCACAAGAGCTAATGAAAAAGCAGAATTTGGCTTACAGTGGGGAAGAAGGCAGGATCAGTAAGAAAGTCACACCTCTGAGACCCAGGCACAAATGACTTACCAGTTTAACAGAGAATCTTCTTCCTTCCAACAGAGAATTCCCTCTTCTGTCACTCTCCCTGCCCCACAACATTGGGTGAACAAGCATTGAGTTACAAGCAACGAAGCTTACTACTGCGGAAGAGACAAGAGCCTGGGAGGAGATCCTGTGCAGGAACACAGGAAGGCAGAAAGCTAAGGTTGGAGGAGAGACACTGAGAAAAACCCTCCAGCGTCCAGCCCCCACACCAAGCACAAGGTCACTCTACAGGAATCTGAGCCACAGAGCAGTCACTGAAGGTAACTATAGCAACAAAATCCCCTTCTCAGTTCCTGACCAGATTGATTCATCCTCCCTGCCCCACTAATGACCTAATTTTAAAAATGTGTAAATGTGGACGGGCACAGTGGCTCATGCATGTAATCCCAGCACTTTGGGAGGCTGAGGCAGGCGGATCACTTGAGGTCAGGAGTTTTTGACCAGCCTAGACAACATGGTGAAACCTCATCTCTTCTAAAAACACACAAATTAGCTGGGTGTGGTGGTGCACGTCTGTAATCCCAGCTACTCGGGAGGCTGAGGCATAAGAATCACTTGAACCCAGGAGGCACAGGTTGTAGTGAACCGAGATCATGCCATTGCCCTCCAGCCTGGGTGACAGAGCAAGACTCTCTCAAACAAAAAAACAAAAAAATGTGTACCCATTTTCAGTCATAAGTACTATTTATCTTCATCTTTTTTTTTTCAGGAAAACATTCTCTTACGTTATTTGCATCTCAGCAAAGGTTCTCATTTGGCACCTGAGTGGCATCAAACCAAAGTTTGTAGGCCAACAAAGCTGGGCCACTCACAAGCTTGCCATTTGTAGGTCTCAATGCCTACATTGACAGTAGTCAATGAGTATCTGATACCTGTTCCTCTCTTCAGTCTCTTAGGGAGGCTTAAATCTGTCTCAGGTGTGCTAACGGTGCCAGCCACAAGGCGGTGAAAAAGTCCATAAAACTGCAGTCTTTGCTGGGATAGGAAGCCAAGCAGCGCCTGGACAGCAGAGTTCTTTTCTTGGACAACAAATAACTAGACAAGACCCTAATTGTGATCTTATTCAACATTCTTCTGTCTCTGCCTAGACTGAAATAAAGAGCCAACCTCTCTCGTAGCACAAGGGAGGAGATGCAAGCTCGTTTACATTTGATAGACCTGAAGAACACATCTACCTAAGTCTGGTTCGGATGGACTGTGCAGGGAGCTCTTAGGTCAGCGCTGCTGGTTGCAGGACATCCCTGAGTCCAGCTTTGCAGCCTTTGTGCAGCAGTACTTTCCCAGGACCCACAGGAAATACTCAGAGTCCACCTGAACATTTTACTTATATTCAGTTTCTGAGTGTCAGAGGAGTTCAGGACTGTCTGGCCTGGGGCCCTCCTCAAGACAATTCAGGATTACCTACTCAAAGCATGAAATAAAAGGAAATACATTTTAAGGACGAAGGCTGCTCTTTTAAGCCCTGCTGAAGAAACCATTTCAGACATGATTGGAATAGAAAAACCCGGCACTCAGCTCGGCGCAAGCAGGAGTTGCCTTCCCACCAAAGAACCTCTCCTCCGGTGCAACGCAAGTAGGACCTCGACTTGAGGTCGGCATTCTGGCCGTCCAGCGCTCTCTCTCCGGCACCTCGAAGAGGCTAGTTGACCCGACAGGCGTGGATCATGAGCAGCTGCAGGAGAATGAAGACTAGGACGTGATGAGGCCGAACCAGAGCTTCCGAGGCTGCTCCGCCAGCTTCTGGCACAATAGCGTCTCGAAAACGAACTTGAAACTCAGGACCGTGAGGACCCAGAAAAGGCGGAGCACCGCCAGCCGCTTCTCTCCGTCCTGGAAGAGGTGGACGGACACGATGGTGGTGAAGTAGGTGCTGAGCCCATCAGCGGCGAAGAAAGGCACGAAGACGTTCCACCAGGAGAGGCCTGGTACCAGGCCATCCACACGCAGTGCCAGCAGCACGGAGAACACCAACAGCGCTAGCAGGTGCACGAAGATCTCGAAGGTGATGAAGCCCAGCCACTGCACCAGCTCTCGGAGCGAGAAGAGCATCGCGCCGGTTGAGCGCGGGCCGGGGCCCGGTTGAGCGCGGGCCGGGGCCCGGCCGAGCGTGCCACCCGCGGAGCTGCGTCTCCTCTTCCCATGGCCCTCGCCCGCGCGTGCTGACGCTGCTGCGAGCGAGAGGCGGTGAGCGTCCCCGCCAGCCCCAGCCCTAGGCCCTGGTTCGCCGCCAATCTCCCGGCCCCGGCCCGGGATTGAACACCGGCCGCTCGCGGACGCCTGCCTCGCTCGGACGCCTTGCCCGGCCGGGCGCGTCCCTACTGTATCTTCATCTTTATTCTATGCACACTGCACAGCAGTCAGTTAAAAAAAAAAAAAAGTATAGGGTGGGCAGGGTGGCTCACGCCTATAATCCCAGCACTTTGGGAGGCCGAGGTGGGTGCATCACTTGAGACCAGGAATTCAAGGCCAGCCTTGCCAAATGGCAAAACCCCGTCTCTACTAAAAATACAAAAGAAATTAGCCAGACATGGTGGCAGATGCCTGTAATCCCAGCTTCTTGGGAGGCCGAAGCACAAGAATAGCTTGAACCCGGGAGGCGGAGGTTGCAGTGAGCTGAGATGGCGCCACTGCACTCCAGCCTGGGAGACAGAGTAAGGCTATGTCTTAAAGAAAAAAAAAGTATTGTTTTAGATAACAAGTTATATGGTCAACATGTTGATGAGAAAACTGAGATTCTCAGAAGTTAAGTGCCTTTTGTCTTTGTCTAACCTTTTCATTAATGGCAACTGGATAATGTTTGCAACAGAGTTCCCCAACTTTTGCCAGTAGGAAATGTATTCAAATGCAAAATATTTAAAAATATATTTTATTAAGTATGATATGAATTTGAAGTCTCACTAATAACACACATGTGAAGCGGAAATTACTATTTAATTGGTTTTAAGACACATAATGGAGTCACCAAATAGTTGAAGACAGGACTAAATTGAACACTAGAAATTAAGTAATTTTTAAAAGATCATGCGAATACTAAGGCGCTGTCACGAGGGCAGGGTTTGACTACCTTAACTATTTGTTGTTCTTTTTATGTTGCTTCCCTTTACCGTCTTTTTTTCCCTAGCTTTTATTTTAAGTTCAGAAGTACAAGTGCAGGTTTGTTGCATAGGTAAACTTGTGTCATGGGGGTTTGTTATACGGATTATTTCATTAGCCAGGTATTAAGCCTGGCATTCACTAGTTATTCTTTGTGATCCTCTCCTTCCTACCACCCTCCAAAGGGCCTCAGTGTATACTGTTTCCCTCTATGTCTCCATGTGTTCTCATAATTTAACTCCCACTTATAAGTGAGAACATGAGGTATTTGGTTTTCTGTTCCTGTGTTAGTTTCCTAAGGATAATGGCCTCCAGCTCCATCCATGTCCCTGCAAAGTACATGATCTCATTCTTTTTTATGGCTGTATAATCTTTTTCTTTTCTTTCTTTCCTTCCTTTCTTTCTTTCCGTCTTTCTTTCTTTCTTTCTTCTTTTTTTTTTGTCAGAGTCTCACTCGGTCACCCAGGCTGGACTACAGGATGATATCATGGCTCAATGTAGCCTCAACTTCTCAGCCTAAGCAGTCCTCCCACCTCAACCACCTGAGTAGCTGGAACTACAGGCATGTACCACCATTCCTGGCTAAGTTTTAAAGTTTTCTGCTCTGTTGCATAGGCTGGCCTTGAACTCTTGGCCTTAAGTGATCTTCCCACCTTAGACTTCCAAAGTGCTAGGATTACAGATGTGAGCCGCAATGCCTGGCCTATGATCTTTTTTTTTTCTTCTTCTATTTTTTGAAATGAGGTCTCATTCTTGTCACCCAGGCTGGAGTGTAGTGATGAAGTCTCAGCTCACTGCAGCCTCAACCGCCTTGGCTCAAGTGATCCTCCTTCCTCAGTCCTCCAAGTGACTGGGACTACAGACTTGCCACCAGACCTGGCTATTTTTTATTTTTAGAGAAAAGGTTTCACCATTTTCCCCAGGCTGGTTTCGAATTCCTGAGCTCAAGCTATCTACCTTAGACTCCCAAGGTGCTGGAATTACAGATGTGAGCCACTGCGCCTGGCCCCCCCTCCCCCCGCCCCTCTCTCTCTCTTTTTAAATTTAAATTTATTTTTCTCTCTTTAATTTTTGTGGGTATGTAGTAGGTGTATATATGTATGGGGTACATGAGATATTTTGATACAGGCATGTAATGCATAATAATTACATCATGAAAAATGAGTTATCCATCCTTTAAAACATTTTTTCCTCTGTGTTATATACAATCCAATTATACTCTTTTAGTTATTTTTAAATGTGCAATTCAATTATGATTGACTATAGTCATCCTCTTGTGCTATCAGATACTAGGTCTTATTCATTTTTTCTATGTACTTTTTTGGTACCTCTTAACCATCCCTGCCTCCCTCATCATCCCCCACCCCCCGCTACCTTCCCAACCTGTGGTAACCATCCGTCTAATCTCTATCTCCAGAAGTTCAATTGTTTTCATTTTTAGATCCCACAAATAAGTGAGAACATGTGATGTTTGTCTTTCCCTGCCTGGCTTATTTCATTTAGCATAATGGTGTTGCAAATGACAGTATCTCATTCTTTTTTATGGCTGAATAGTACTCCATTGTGTATATTTACCACATTTTCTTTATCCATTCATCTGTTGATGGACACATAGGTGGCTTCCAAATCTTAGCTATTGTGACTCGTGCTGCAATAAACATGGGAGTGCAGATGTCTCTTCAATATACTGATTTTTTTTCATTTGGGTTTATGCCCAGCAGTGGTATTGCTGGGTCATATGGTAGCTCTATTTTTAGTTTTTTTGAGGAACCAAACTGTTCTCCATAGTGGTTGTACTAATTTATATTCTCACAACAGTGTACAGGAGTTCCCTTTTCTCTACATCCTTGTCAGCATTTGTTATTGCTTGCCTTTTGGATATAAACTATTTTAATGAGGGTGAGATGATACCTCATTGTAGTTCTGATTTTCATTTCCCTGATGATCAGTGATGCTGAGCACCATTTCATATGCCTGTCATTTGTGTGTCTTCGTCTGAGAAATGTCTATTCAAGTCTTTTGCCCATTTTATTTGGATTAGATTTCTTTTCCCATAGAGTTGTGTGAACTCTATGTATGTATTCTATTAGTCCCTTGTCAGATGGGTAGTTTGCAAATATTTTCTGCCATTCTGTGGGTTGTGTCTACACTTTGCTGATTGCCTTCTTTGCTGTGCAGAAGCTTTTTAGCTTGGTGTGATCCCATTTGTTCCTTTCTGCTTTGGTTGCCAGTACTGTGGGTTATATTACTCAAGAAATCTTTGCCCAGTCCAACATCCTGGAGATTTCTCTAATGTTTTCTTGTAGTAGTTTCATAGCTTGTGGTCTTAGAATTAAGTCTTTAATACATTTTGATGGAATTTTCATATATGGTGAGAGAGAGAAATCTAGTTTCATTCCTCTGCATATGGATATCCAGTTTTCCCAGCACCATTTATGGAAGACATTGTTTCTTCCCCAGTGTATGTTCTTGGTGCTTTGGTAAAAAATGAGTTCAGTGTAGGTGTGAGGATTTGTTTCTGGGTTCTCTATTCTGTTCCACTAATCTATGTGTCTGTTTTTATGCCAGTACTGTGCTGTTTTGGTTACAATAACGCTGCTGTATAATTTGAAGTTAGGTAGTGATTCCTCCAGTTTTGTGTTTTTTGCTTTGGCTGTTCTTGGTCTCTTATGGTTCCATATAAATTTTTGGATTTTTTTTTTCAAATTCTGTTAAGAATATCATTGGTGTGTTCATCAGGATTGCATTGAATCTGTAGATTGCTTTAGGTAGTACAAGCATTTTAAGAATATTAATTCTTCCAATCCATGAACATGAAATATTTTTCCATGTTTTGGTGTCCTCTTCAATTTATTTCATCAATGTTTTATAGTTTTTGTTACAGAGATCTTTCACTTCTTCGGTTAATTCCTGGGTATTTCATTTTGTGGTGATTGTAGATGGGACTACTTTTTAAATTCTGCTTTCAGATTGTTTACTATTAGCATATAGAAATGCTACTAATTTTTGTATGTTGATTTTGTATCTTGCAACTTTACTGAATTTATCAGTTCTAATAGATTTTTGGTGGAGTATTTAGTTTTTTCCAAATATAAGATTATATCATCTGTAAACAAGGATAATTTTACTTCTTTTCCAATTCAAATTCCCTTTATTTCTTCTCTGGTCTGATTGCTCTAGCTAGGACTTTCAGTACTGTGTTGAATAATAGCGGTGAAAGTCGGCATCCTTGTTGTGTTCCAGATCTTAGAGGAAAGGTTTTCAGTTTTTTCCCCATTCAGTATGATACTAGCTGTAGGTCTGCTGTATATGGTCTTTATTACATTGAAGTACGTTCTTTCTATATCCAGTTTTTGAGGGTTTTTATCATGGAGGGATGTTGAATTTTATCAAGTGTTTTTTCAGGATCAATTGAAATGATCATATGGTTTTTGTCATTCATTCTGTTGGTATGATGTATCTGATTTGCATATGTTGAACAATTCTTGTATTTCAAGGGAAAATCCCACTTTGTCACGATGAATGATCTTTTTAATGTATGGTTGAATTCAGGTTGGTAGTATTTTGTTGAGAATTTTTGCATCAATTTCACCAGAGCTATTGGCCTGTAGTTTTCTTTTTTTGATGTGTCGTTATCTGGTTTTGGCATCAGGGTAATAGTGGCCTCGTAGAATGTGTTTGAAAGTATTCCCTCCTCTCTAAGTATCTGTCGCAGCTAAAAAAAAAAGAAAATACTGCCTCCTCATCTGTTTTTTGGAATAATTTGAGTATGATTGGTATTAGTTTTTCTTTAAATGTTTGGTAGAATTCAGCAGTGAAGTCATTGGGTCCTGGGCTTTTTGTTACTGGGAGACTTTTATTACCATTTCAATCTCATTACTTGTTATTGGTCTGTTTAGGGTTTGAATTTCCTCATAATTCAATCTTGGTAGGTTGTAGGTTTCTAGGAATTTCTCCTTGTCTTCTAGATTTTCCAATTTATTAGCATATAATTGCTCATAGTAGCCAGTAATGATCCTTTGAATTTCTATGGTATCAGTTGTGATGTCTCCTTTTTCACCTCTAATTTTATTTCTTTCTCTTTTTTTCTTTTAGTTAGCCTGACTAAAGATTTGCCAATTTTGTTTAGCTTTTCAAAAAACCAACTTTTTGTTTCCTTGATCTTTTGTAGTATTTTCTTCATTTCAGATTCATTTCTTTCTGATCTTTAATATTGTCTTTGTCATCCATGAGTGTTAAAAATTTAATATTATTTTTTATTTTAAAAGTGGTGTTATTATTTATTTATTTATTTTAGAGACAGAGTCTTGCTGTATTGTCCAGGCTGGAGTGTGGTGGTGAGATCTTGGCTCACTGCAGCCTGCAAGGCTCAAGAGATCCTCCTGCCTCAGCCTCCGGAGTAGCTGGGACTACAGATGTGCACCACCACACCCAGCTAATTTTTATATTTTTTTTGTAGAGATGGGGTTTTGTCATGTTACCCAGACTGGTCTGAAACTCCTGGGCTCAAACCACCCACCCACCTCAGCCTCCCAAAGTGCTGGATTTACAGGAATGAGTCACCACACTCATTCTAACATTTAAGATAAGAAAAAAAAATCTGTCACTTTGTAAATGGTTAGGGAAAAATAGCGAGAATTAAAAAAAAGATACCCTCCCTTTTCCAAAAAAGGGCTAGGGAATGAAAAGCATAAGTAGAAATAACCAAAATAAATAGTGAAAATATATTTCAGCATATTGGCAATCACAGGGTATGTAAGGATCTATGAAACAGAAAACCATATAGATGTCAAAACAAACTAATCAGATCTACATGTACCAACAAAAACAAGTCTCAGAAACATTGTACTGAGTTTATAAAATAAGGTACAAAAGGATATCATAGTATGGGACCAGTTTGTAAATTTTAAAAATGACATAAAACAATGTTATATATTGTTTATAGATACAAATATATGTAGGAAAATTATAGATGGAAGAATACACACTGACTTAAGATAGTGTTTATCTCTGGAGATGATGAGAGAGGGGAGAGATGAGAGGGAGACATGAGAGTAATTTTTTTTTTTTTTTTTGAGACAGGGTCTCATACCATCACCCCAGCTGGAGTGCAGTGGCACAATCTCAGCTCACAGCAACCGCCACCTCCCAGGTTCAAGTGACTCTCGTGCCTCAACTTCCTGAGTAACTGGGATTACAGGTGTCTGCCACCACTCCTGCTAATTTTGCATTTGTGTTTTTTTTTAGTGGAGACAGGGTTTCACCATGTTGGCCAGGCTGGTCTCAAACTCCTGGCCTCAAGTGATCTGCCTGCCTTGGCCTTCCTAAGTGCTGTTATTATAGGCATAAGCCACTGCACCTGGTCTATGAGAGTGATCCTAACTGTATCTGCAATTTTTCCTTAAAAAAAAAAGCCCTGAAATGACACATAACTAAAAGTTAATGTGTTACATCTGGATTGACCACAAATGGGTATCTGTTAAATTTATTTCTGATTTTTCTGTACATTTAAAGTATTTAATAATTAAATCTCCATATTTTCTTTCTTTCTGTCTCTTTCTCTCTCCCTTCCTTTCTTTTCTCTTTTCTCCTTCCTCCCACCCTCCCTCCTCTCTCTCTTTCTCCTTCCTTCCTTCCTTTCTTTCTTCCCAATTTTGCTCTTGCCACCCACAATGGAGTGCAATCGCATGATCTCAGTTAACCACAACCTCTGCCTCCCAGGTTCAAGCAATTCTTCTGCCTCAGCCTCCCAAGTAGCTGGGATTACATGCATGCACCACCACACCTGGCTAATTTTGTATTTTTAGTAGACACGGGGTTTTACCATGTTTACCAGGCTGGTCTGGAACTCCTGACCTCAGGTGATCTGCTTGCTTCAGCCTCCTAAAGTGCTGAGATTACAGACATGAGCCACTGTGCCTGGCCTTTTCTATTTCTTAACTACATTTTTCTAAGGACGTAAGAGAT